CTACTACGACTACTACTACTACTACTACTACTACTACTACTACTACTACTACTACTATTACTACTACTACTACTACTACTACTACGATTACTACTACTACTCTGTCTACTGCTGCTACTGATACTACTACTGTTGCCACTAGTAGAACGGCTACTTCTAGAACGACGACTACTACGACTACTACTACTACCACTACTTCTATTACGACTAAATTAGTTTGGCGAAGGACCCAACCATATGCAGTTGTGAATGCCGCAATTGTGATGGGTGGTGGCGGACGCATGCGGGCGGTGCCACTGGGACCTTCGGTGGAGCTCCCTATGGGGCCACGAAACGCTGTGCTGGGTGGGTGAGACGCGGTCAGCAAGGGCTGTGCTGCGTGGTGGCGGACGCATGCGAGCGGTGCCACTGGGACCTTCGGTGGAGCTCCCTATGGGGCAACGAAACGCTGTACTGGGTGGGTGAAACGCAGGCAGGGAACAAGGGCTGTGCAGGGTGGTGGCGGACGCATGCGGGCGGTGCCGCTGGGACCTTTGGTGGAGCTCCCATAGGGCTACGAAGCGCTGTTCTGGGTGGGTGAAGCGCAGGGAACAAGGGCTGTGCTGGGTGGTGGCGGACGCAAGCGGGCAGTGCCACTGGGACCTTTTGGTGGAGCCCCCTATGGGGCCACGAAACGTGCGAGGGGTGTGCCAGAATGGGGTGTGGAACCGCATGCCAGCGCAGCCACTGGGGCCTTCGGTGGAGCTCCCTATGGAGCCACGAAACGTGTGAGGGGTGTGCCGAAATGGGGGGTGGAACCGCATGCGAGCGCAGCCACTGCGGCGTTCGGTGGAGCTCCCTATGGGGCCACGAGACGTGTGAAGGGCGTGCCGAAAAAGGGGGTGGAACCGCATGCGAGCGCAGCCACTGGGGCCTTCGGTGGAGCTCTCTATGGGGCCACGAACCGTGTGAGGGGTGTGCCGAAATGGGGGGGGAACCACATGCGAGCGCAGCCACTGGGGCGTTCGGTGGAGCTCCCCATGGAGCCACCCACGAAGCGTGTGAGGGGTGTGCCGAAATGGGGGTGGAACCGCATGCGGGCGCAGCCACTGGGGCCTTCGGTGGAGCTCCCTATGGGGCCACGAAACGTGTGAGGGGTGTGCCAGAATGGGGGGGTGGAACCGCATGCGGGCGCAGCCACTGGGGCCTTCGGTGGAGCTCCCTATGGGGCCACGAAACGTGTGAGGGGTGTGCCAGAATGGGGGGTGGAACCGCATGCGGGCGCAGCCACTGGGGCCTTCGGTGGAGCTCCCTATGGCCACGAAACGTGTGAGGGGTGTGCCAGAATGGGGGGTGGAACCGCATGCGGGCGCAGCCACTGGGGCCTTCGGTGGAGCTCCCTATGGGGCCACGAAACGTGTGAGGGGTGTGCCAGAATGGGGGGTGGAACCGCATGCGGGCGCAGCCACTGGGGCCTTCGGTGGAGCTCCCTATGGGGCCACGAAGCGTGTGAGGGGTGTGCCAGAATGGGGGGTGGAACCGCATGCGGGCGCAGCCACTGGGGCCTTCGGTGGAGCTCCCTATGGGGCCACGAAACGTGTGAGGGGTGTGCCACTGGGGGGTGGAACCGCATGCGGGCGCAGCCACTGGGGCCTTCGGTGGAGCTCCCTATGGGGCCACGAAACGTGTTAGGGGTGTGCCAGAATGGTGGGTGGAACCGCATGCGGGCGCAGCCACTGGGGCCTTCGGTGGAGCTCCCTATGGGGCCACGAAACGTGTGAGGGGTGTGCCAGAATGGGGGGAGGAACCGCATGCGGGCGCAGCCACAGGGGCCTTCGGTGGAGCTCCCTATGGGGCCACGAAACGTGTGAGGGGTGTGCCAGAATGGTGGGTGGAACCGCATGCGGGCGCAGCCACTGGGGCCTTCGGTGGAGCTCCCTATGAGGCCACGAAGCGTGTGAGGGGTGTGCCAGAATGGGGGGTGGAACCGCATGCGGGCGCAGCCACTGGGGCCTTCGGTGGAGCTCCCTATGGGGCCACGAAACGTGTGAGGGGTGTGCCAGAATGGGGGTGGAATCGCATGCGGGCGCAGCCACTGGGGCCTTCGGTGGAGCTCCCTATGGGGCCACGAAACGTGTGAGGGGTGTGCCAGAATGGGGGGTGGAACCGCATGCGGGCGCAGCCCCTGGGGCCTTCGGTGGAGCTCCCTATGGGGCCACGAAACGTGTGAGGGGTGTGCCAGAATGGGGGTGGAACCGCATGCGGGCGCAGCCACTGGGGCCTTCGGTGGAGCTCCCTATGGGGCCACGAAACGTGTGAGGGGTGTGCCAGAATGGGTGTGGGAGGGGAGGAGGGGAGGAGGAGGAGGAGGAGGAGGAGGCGGAGGATGAGGAGGAGGCGGAGGAGGAGGAGGAGGAGCGGGAGGCGGAGGAGAGGGAGGAGGAGGAGGAGGACGAGGAGGAGGTGGAGGAGGAGGAGGAGGAGGAGGAAGAGAGAGAGGGGGAGGAGGAATAGGAAGAGG